CGAGGGGGTTCCAGGGGGGTGTCGTGGCATCCTTAGCCGGTCCGGGGCGGGGCGGCAAGCAGGAGGTGGCTCGGGCGCGTGCGTGCGCGCCGCGGCCACACGCTCGTCCTTCTGTCCGAGGACGAAGACGACAGGAGAAGGGAGTGGAGATGGGCTGGGCCGACTGGGGGGGGGGGAACTGGGCCGGCTGGTGGGCTGCACGGGTGGCACCAGGTAAGTCCTTCTCTGTCTTTTATTTCCATTTCAGTTCTGTTTTCTTTTTATTTATTTCTTTTGCCACTGTTTTGAATTAACATAATAATTTAAACAGTGCCAAAGCTCCTCTGAATATTTTATTTTGCTAGATGGACCTTTCCAAAAGCTCATAAAATAATTCAGGGATATTTGAAATTATATTCTAATTATATGAATATAATTCAAATTCAAATAGCTAATGAATTAAATCCAAAGTCCCAAAAATAAATCCTTAAAAATGTTCAATATTTTGGTTGGGACCAGAACCCTTACCAAAAATTATCAAACATTTAAGAAGAGCCATTTGGAGCAATGAATAAGATTTCTAGGGTTTTTGCCCCTCTTTTATTTAGGGTTTTGAGGCTTCCAATAATTCCCTCAGTTCAAATTTCTCAGAATTTAAATATGATGCACACATGAGCTAGCCTAGAGCACTACCAGCAGCTAGGGATGTGACAGGATGCTAGTGTTCCATCAGTGCCTCTGCATTCTTCTCCGTCTGCCATGCTATACTACTGGGCTGTGATCACTTCGGGAGGTGATCACGGGCATATACTATATACTTTACACTATTACATTACCTGTGGTACTGTTCAGAGATGGGGGCTGAAAGGACAGGTGGCTCCATCCCGGTAGAGGTGGGCCTGGGTTCCCGACGGCCCCCGACTGTTACTTTGTGGCGGAGCGACAGGGCAGGTTGAGACCACCTAGGAGAGAGGTGGGCCTGGCCCTGTTCGGCGTTCGCGGATATTTAACACGCTTAACGAGATCTTGGTATTTGATCTGAGTTGGCTACGAGCCTATACGCACTAACCATCTACGTGGGAGTAGTTATGGGTATCCCGGCGTCGTGGTATCAGGCGAAGCACTTCAGACGTCAGCGACGGAGCGGCGCGCGCCGGATTGGAGTGGAACGCCTACTAGGCTAGGTCTGCTTCCGACCGCCCTCGCAACGTGCAGGTGTGCTATGGGCGATGGGCCCAGACCCCTGTGCACTTAGGTTTAGACCGGCGTGCTGGCCTCTCTGTTTTGCCTAGGTGGGGCTGCGACGTGTTGATCTTCCGAGGCCGGGCATGACCCAGGAAAGTGTGTCCGGCCAAATGGGATCAAGCGTGTTGGGTAAGTTGGTGCACCCCTGCAGGGAAGTTAATCTATTCGAATAGCCGTGATCTTCGGTAACAGGACGACTTGGAGTTGTACCTTGACCTTATGACAACTAGAACCGGATACTTAATAAAACACACCCTTCCAAGTTCCACAGACAACCCGGTGATCGCTTTTCCACAGGGCGACGAGGGGAGGATCGCCGGATAGGATTATGCTACTGCGTTGCTACTGGAGTTGCTACTTGGAGATGCTACTTGGAGATACTACTTGGAGGACTTCAATCTACTCTCTTCTACATGCTGCAAGACGGAGGCTGTCAGAAGCGTAGTCTTCGACAGGATTAGCTATCCCCCTTTTATTCTGACATTCTGCAGTTCAGTCCACTGATATGGCCTCCCTACACATATACCCATGCATATGTAGTGTAGTTCCTTGCTTGCGAGTACTTTGGATGAGTACTCACGGTTGCTTTCTCCCCCTTTTCCCCCTTTTCTTTCTTTCTGGTTGTCGCAACCAGATGCTGGAGTCCAGGAGCCAGACGCCACCGTCGACGACGACCCCTACTACACCGGAGGTGCCTACTACTACGTGCAGCCCGCTGACGACGACCAGGAGTAGTTAGGAGGATCCCGGGCAGGAGGCATGCGCCTCTTTCGATCTGTATCCCAGTTTGTGCTAGCCTTCTTAAGGCAAACTTGTTTAATTTATGTCTGTACTCAGATATTGTTGCTTCCGCTGACTCGTCTATGATCGAGCTCTTGTATTCGAGCCCTCGAGGCCCCTGGCTTGTATTATGATGCTTGTATGACTTATTTATGTTTTAGAGTTGTGTTGTGATATCTTCCCGTGAGTCTCTGATCTTGATCGTACACGTTTGCGTGTATGATTAGTGTACGATTGAATCGGGGGCGTCACAGAGAGGGCGTCGTGCCAAAGACGAACGGCGGAGAGTAAGTGGAGGCGGAGGGCGTCGTGGAGGAGAGAGAGCCCGGCGAGGTGACGGAGTCCATGGTGGCGACGGACGGGAGGAGTCGGTGTCGGCTATGGGGAGAACCTGAAAGCAGCTCTGATACCAAGTTGGAAAGATATTTCCTTTTGATTGATTTACAGATCACAGTGCATGGCTTATATCAAGGAGAACTGCACATCCTATATAAGTGGCACTCGGGCCTGACGTGGTCTCTTGTTCCTATATTCACAGCAACGTTACATGAGTACATACAGACTTTGTCTAGGGGTTCCAGCTGGCCCTAACCAGCAGGAAGGATAATGCATGTCGACTTGGACCCAAGTGCGCAGCACAATCATCTTGCACGACCATAGTAGGAGTAATTGGTTTTCCTAGACCACGTACAGGACAGAGTGTGATGGATGAAATGGAATCAGTGGCAAAGGCGACCGCTCGAGGCGAGGTCAAGCAAAGCAAAGGCGCGCGTGCCGTCGTCAAGTCGATCCTGCACGCACGCACGCACGGTTCGTCCCCTAGTGCTACAGGTGGCGCGCCTTCGTTCATCATCTTGGTCTTAGGGAATAGGGACCGACCGCAAGACCAGACCCACTTCCTTTATTTCACGGCTAACCACTTGTCCTTAACCTTGCAAGTACAAGTCAGCCATCCAGTCCAGATAAACAAAGACGAGCCAAGACACGTGCTGGGTTGGATCTCGAGTCCAGATGCGGCTTGGCTTGGCTTGGCTTGGCTTGCCGCCACCTTGTGGCGCCACATGCATCACCATCATCATCACACAAAGAAAGAGGCAGCACAAAAGCAGGTCTACACAAGCAACGACCAGAGGCGACCTGGACCTGGAAAGAAAGCAACGGCGCGGACAAGGAACGCACCAACGCAGCGCGACCCGTCCTTCCGTCACGCGGGGCAATGCACCTAGCAAAGCAAAGCCCCACCCCAAGCACAAGACATGCCGAATCATTTCATGGCAACCTGACGGGAGGGAGGGATGAGAGGTCGACCGCGGCCACAAATGTTGACTTGCGCGCCCGTTCTCGTACTGCAAAGCTCGTCTTTCCGGCGAGCACGAGCAGGAGGGAGAAAGGCCCGCGCATGATGAGGCCGACGTGCGCGCACGAGCAGTGGGCTCTCATCATTTGACAGGATGGACCAGGGACCAAAGCTTTCCGCCGCGCGCCAAAACCTGGGGTGAGAAACAGGGGGGCACATTATTGCCTCATCTATCCATCCATATATGTGCACCAAGGTACGTACGTACTTCCTCCGTAAACTAATATAAGAGTGTTTAGAATACTAAAATAGTGATCTAAACACTCTTATATTAGTTTACAGAGGGAGTACTAGGCAGCAAATGCTTGTTCACAAGGAAGATGGGTAACTAACTACTCCAGAAACAGCTGATAACAGGGAGTAGTACACTGGAAAGAGCGGCCACTTTGCTGCAAACAGCTGATAAACTCGTCAGAACTGATGGAGGCGAGATTTATAATTTGGACTCCAGAAACAACAGTTCAAACAACCTGAGGTGAACCCCTGTCAGCTGTTAGGAAGTTAATAACCACCCTTCCTGAAAAACTGTCCAGGTGCAGCCTTTGCCAGGAAATTCAGTGGTTCAAGTGGTTATTCGTGCTGGCACCTATATATGGGTGAGAGCGAATCAACCGCTCGCGCTTTCTTTCTGTAATACTGTCGCTCAAGAAGAGGGATTGCGCACGCGGTACGGTACGGCTCTTGATTTTCATGTCCTCCATTCTGAGCCTGAATAGTTAGTCTTCCTATGCTGGCAATCAGTGTGTTGCTGTTGACACCAGAAGTTGATGTTCTAATCCTAGGGTCAAGACATGTCAACTTCTAGACGATGTCACTTAACGGATCGTCTGAATTCACTGCATCACTAACGGATAACTTGCTCCGAATAGGCACTCGACAAATCGGGCATGATTGGCACTTGTCAGAGCAAGGTCTGCAAGAACAACAAAAAAGAGAAGGTTGGACATTTGCAGACCAGTATGTAGCTCCAGAGCTTGAAAGTAATAACCTGTGAACGTACAGAGCACGGGCATATTAGTTAATGAAAAGGAATCTTACTCGCATAGAACATGATGGCGGCATGGAAGCAGAACAATGCAGATGTCCCTCTCAAAGCAAATTCGACATAAGATCCGTTCCTGTATTTATGGAAAATTATCAGAAGTATTATTAGCTCACAGAAAATGTTCTGGTCAAAATTAATCAGAATTGTGTATTGCATCTTAGGTTTTACGGTGGTTCTTTCATGACGACTTGAAAAGATCTAGTCTATCCCAGTTATATTGCAATGCGATCCAACTTTTAAATTAGCTGAACATTCTAAAATGCAATAACACCCTAATTTAGTTGTTGCAGACTTGCAGCACACCAGCAAATCTGAGAAGACCCTGGTACACATTCATAAGCTGTACTTATTGATCCTTTTTCTTAAAGAAAAACAGGGAAGCAAGCATACATTCTTTAGCCTCTCACACTGCTGTTGGCTAAGCATTGCCATTTTGCTTTGCTCTCCCAATGCTAACTGAAGTCTTTGTATCTGAAAGTATACATGACTAATTAGCTCCATGCAAAAAAATAAGCTAGTGCAGAGAATATTAATAAATAAATAACCTCTTTGACAAGAACTTTTTTCGGCATCTCTTTTACCATCTCAGGGGGATAACTGCAAAATGTATTATACCTGCAAAGGTGCAGACAAATAACAAGACCAATTAATGGAAGACTTCAACTGTCCTGGAAGTATTTATAATGGTTCTAAAGTGATTAGCTATCTTGTTATCTAAATACACATGATTCAAGATACACATGCATAGGTGATCTTTTTTAGTTCATGATGAAAGAGCAGACAGTTGAATTAAATTTATTTATCTCTGAATGGTTCCCAATTGAACTGTATTGAAACAAGAAATCAGTTTTATTATCTTCTAGTTGATTAGTTTGCCCATATTTCAGATAATGTAACATTAGATGGCATCCTCCATATTCGACTATGGGCTCAACGTGGTAAGTTCTTTTAGATAGTGATTATCTTGTCTTCTCCTCTCCTCCCTCAACAAGACACAGACCCACATCTTTCCTCCTGATGCACTTCTGCAGCGCACTACTACATGTCCCCCGGTCCGGCAGTCCCCCTACCCAAAAAGGGTGAAACACAACAACAATAAGAAAAATGATATGCTGCCATTCTGTTTTAAGAGGCAGTGACCTCCATATAGGCAGTGCTTACTTGAATATTTATGTTTTCTAGCTTCACAATAAATAACACTGGCAACCTATAAATCCAAATATTTACATCATCCACAACTAGATAGAATTATGTGGTGAATACCCAATGTTATTTGTATAGCATAAATGTGCTTGTTCCTCTTTGCTATCTTCGTCAATAGACCATGTAATGAGCCTGAACAGCAGTGGAAATTAACCAGATGAGAATCCAATCAAAACTCCTGTGATAAATATACAGCTTTTAATGTACAGAAGGAGGGACTGAGGTAATGAAGTGAGAAAACTGAGAGCATTTAGAACCTTGAACCATATTGTACCATCTTAAACAACTCATCAATCTTTGATGAGACAGAAATATATCCTTCACTAACAATTCCATCTTGTAATTTCATAACAAGCCTTTCAAAGAATCTCCAAACGGCAAACAGTACAGCAACCACTTGGAGCAAAAGTATAGGTGAGAAAATAACTCGAACTGGGATAAACCGTGCATAAGATGGAGTACCCTGCAAAGAATATAGACAGACAGAATGTACTTACACTAGCAGTTGAACAATATTTCAATATAGAGTTAATACTCATATTGGCCTTCACAGACACTAGGTGACTACAAGCTTAACACAAAAACTGAATGAGCAGCTCACAAACGGTACCACAATCAATGTGCAGGACAGAATACATAGGATGTTGGCAGTCAGCTCACAGATTTCATATGCCGTATCACATTGAACAGAAGTTGAAAGCACAGCAACGTGGTAAAATAATGCTACCAATCAATTTTGAAGGGAAAAACATTTGGAAAAATGGAACTGAGCAGACCTCTAAGCGCACACATAGGAGAACTTGAGAGATTACGATAGGAATTATCAGTACAGGGCCACCAATATCCTGCACATCACATGGTTTGTCTACATCAGGATCCCTTTTGGAGAATAATGAAATATTGTCGTTTCAGTTGCACACTCTGTTCCTGCATGATGAATTTATTGCTATACCAAGGATTGGCTGTATACCGACCATTGGATTGGACCACCTTATGCAGACAAGAAAAGCAAAGCACTGGGAAATCCTGTAAAATTTGTCATCAAGTAATTAGTGAGGACTGCTCCATGGAATTATACTGTAATTTAAAATGACGGGATATCTTTGTTACCCAAAGTTAATGAATAAATCCCACCACCCCAGAGTAACTGCATCACCTGTGGCAAATAATATAACTTAGCCGATTCAAATGTTAGGGCCGCTTTGATTCAAAAGATTTTTGGAGGAGTAGAACCCTTAGGAATTTTTCCTACGTTGGCCTTTTGATTCGTAGGATTGAATCCTATAGAACTTTTTCCTAAGGAAACATTTGTACTCCCTCTGTAAAGAAATATAAGAGTGTTTAGATTACTATTTTAGTAATGTAAACACTCTTATATTTTCTTATGGAGGAAGTACTACATTCCACGGGAAATCTAGCATCCACTCCAACTTCTCGGAAAAAATCCTTTGTGTTTCCTGTGATGCAATCAAACAAACTCAAATCCTGTAGGGTTCAAATGGACATGCCATTCCAATCCTGTGTTTTTCCTATTATTGCGTTTCTACAATCCTGCGAATCAAAGAGGCCCACTACAGTATTCTGACCTATGGCTAAGTGCTTCATCTTCTTAACATGTTTGACTATGGATGCTACCAATCTATCACTTGTAAACTAGTTATCCTCAAAAAATTACTGTGCAAATTCAGCAGAAAAGTACCTAAGCTAGATACATTGATGTAATCTAGTAGAAAGAGGGGGACATATATAATGTCAAACAGCACAACTAGACCACACTTAATAGTATTTGTATAGCTTACCGCATAGCTTGAGAAGCATGAGTGAAGTAGCTGCTAGTAGAAACACCATGGAAATTGCAACCCAGAAGTGCTAAGGAAATATGAAGCTGTTAGTAATGGTTAAGGTTAAGAGTTCACAGAATATTATCCAGTAATCAACATTGATATCTAGTGTTTTTAAAATACATTGTGGTACACGTATATAAGTATGTCTAGAATTAGCGCACATATCACTTTGTTGGACAAAGCAACATTTATTCAAAAATTGCGGTTTGCGGAAATGATTTCTACTGAAATAAAAAGGCTTATAGTTTAGTTGATTCGGTTAAGCCAACACAGGCCAAAAGTTACAGAACAGCAGGTGCAATGTGTACTCTGGATTCTTACAGGAAGCCTATCCCATATCTCCTCATCAGTGATTGTTTCCCCATGTCCAGGCATTAGAGCACCAAACATCCTAATGAGAATCGGAAAAGATAGGAAGCACAACAAAACAACTAGAAATGTTAGCTAAAGTATTCTTTACAACATAGTTCTGAAATGGAGAATTGGTCACTCGAAGACGTCCAGTCATGTGTTCACATTACAATGTGCAAATAGCATCCCATAAGAGGTATTCAGAAACCCAGCAGGCAGAAACAAGTATATAAGTGAAAATCATCGATTACTAAGTTATTATCATGTGCTTATTAATTCAATAAGATTATATTCACTGTTCAGCAGTTTCTACAATGTGAGACATTGAGTGAGATGACATCGTACAGGTTGGATTATTACTGACAAAAATGTATTGTGCAACAGAGGTCCATCAGTTTGCATCATAGTAACATCTTATCATGGTTACTTGGCTAGGCAGTAGGAACATTGAATTGAAACCATCGCAAGTTTAAAAATACAATTGTAGTACAGAATGTTATCCAAAATATTATTTGTAATGCATGAAACTGAAGTTCATAAACCTGCAAAATGTTAATTGTCATTGATTGGCAGTTGTAGAGCTTAACTGGATATCATGCTGGGGGCAATCAATAGTGTATTAACTTAGTACGTGAAGATTTAATGCATGCCTTGATTAGGTACCTAATCGGATTTTGTTGGTACATATTAATGAGATTTTGATTTGCAAGGAGGGGGCCCACCCTGGCCCCAAGCTAAGCCAATGTTGATTGGACATAGAGGTGTTTAAAATCTTAGAACATTGAGTAACTCGGATAAAATTGGAAACACCAACTTTTCGATGGATTCTAGTAAATTTCCAACAGTGATACATACAATACAAGTACAGTTACAGTTTTGCCTTGAAGAATTGTCAGTTACCTGAAATTGTCAACTAACGTAATAATTTCCAAGGCCAGGAGTGGAAGGAAAACAAGCTTTAAATCTAGAAAAGGTTCACCCTGGCCTGCAGATGACAGATAACACACTCAGCTGGCAAGTGAAAATACAGAGACAAACAAAAACGAATGTGTTTTTTGGATAAATTCACAATAAGCTTTGGATTCACCATTAATACCTTCAAGGTAGATACAGAGAAGAAGTTCAAAAGCAACTAGCAAGGGTGTGGCAACAATGGAATGGCATGGAATCCGCTGTAAAGTTGAATAGTCTAATTTACTTGCTGCCAGACATTTCAACTTCAGAATGGAAGAACGAATTTGGAGCAAAGCTAACGGACACACCTGGTAATTTTGAAGCAACGAAGGAGCAGGCAATGAGAATCTATACCGAACAACGGCAGCATGGAATAACCACAGAGGAATGAAAAGCACCCTGCAGATTTGTTGAGCATTTTGAAAGTTGCAACATGCAGAGGGTTACCCTAAGTTCATCACCAGACAAAGTACAGCTTGGTATAATTTAATGAAGACGAAGGCAAGTTGTTCAGCTTTTCTTATCAGAAAAATAGCTGGAACCCGATTTATCTGACCAGTTGCCTCCCAATTCCCATCCGATGGCTGCACTTTTTTTTTGATCTTTCGATGGCTGTACTGAGTAATGTGCAATGAACACTTACATACATGCCAGCGATAACCATGCAGCACAATACTAGAACTCGAGGCCAACAGCACATCATGAGGAGAGGAAAAAATAATGAAAGATGGACAGTAAGCACATGGTCTTAGCTGGTACTCAATTGGACAAAAGAATATACCAAATCACCAATATGACACTCTCTTGGGTCTGATCAACGCCTAGTCTTGTCGTGGCAATCAGCTGTGGACGCAACCTCATCCTCGCAGAGAAAGGGCTTATCCTTGGTGTTAATGCTCACTGCATGCTGGATATGGAAGACCAGCAAAACGCTGCCGTCTTGAACGGGGTCAGGCCTGAGGCTGCCATGTTGTTCGATAAAATCAGTGCGGAAGTGCGTCCGTGAGTATTGCACGGGTCCGGGCATGGTTCAAGTTGGAGCTTGGCACTTAGGAGGTGGCGCGTGTGGCATTGGAATCACCAATTTGTAGACCTTATAACACTGTTTCCTATCTATCAATGCATTGCGAAGAAAAAGCTTTTTGCGCTTTCTGGAAAAAAGATCCCCAATAAGACAGCTAGGCCGTTGCCCCGTACAAATTTTCTACAGGGATGTTCTCAAATCACCAATACCAATACATCATTTCCCAAACCGTTTGAGACCCGAATCTGCATGCTCAATTGGATTGCAGCTTTCCCTTCCATCTATAAAGTGCCAGCTACTGTATTTCCTACTGTCGTCCTCCTCAGCTATAAATTCTAAACAAAGCATCGGGAGAGAAAAAAAAACACCAGCATGCTCAATCTAACTACCTCAGGGGTGCTATAACTGCACAAGATTCAGAGTGCACAACACAAAGTGACGCACGGTTTCAGGTGCCCGCCCAAACTCTCGCCGAGAGCTGTTGTGGACTGGCAGAAGGTGTGGTCATAGCTAGGGTATGGGGTTGGGGCCTTGGGGGTGGTCAGCTAACTTACCACCAGGAGCGGGAGAAGAGAACGCCGTCGAGCTTGAGGGCGAGGAGGGTGGTGAAGCAGAGCAGCAGCGCGTGCGCCGCCGCCTCCCGCGCCGCCCTCCGCACCCGCCTCCACGTCCCCGGCGCGCCTCTGCTCGCCCGCGCGGCGGCGGAGGCGGCGCCGCCTGATGCTGCTGCTCCATGTGCCATCGTGCGGCGGCGGGCTTCGTTCAGGAGCTCTTTTGTTCGTGATCTGCGTGCGTGCGAGTGGAACGCGAGAGCGACGCGGGGGCCACGGCCCGTTGGCTCTTGCTGCTCGTGCGCTTGCCAGCTTTGGACTCATCGCACGGTCTGGAAAACCGCATTTCCCGGATAAGGCCATCGCTTTTATTTCCCTTTCTTGGCTAGAACCCGTGTTGTTTCCTCGCCGTTTGGTTGCTTGTCTGGATTCAGTTTGCTATTTCGAGAAGGATTTGCTTGCCGGGACCTTGCCGGAGGCAAGGGCCAGAGTACTAGAGATAAAAATGGACCGAAAGTGTCAAACAAAGCAACGTTATTAAATAAAAAAAATGACAAACTATTGCAATGCAGGCAAAATTATCAGCATACAAGTGAAAAAGCCTTCGTCAGAACTGAACTGAACTGCACCATCCAGGATCGAAAGACCTGGAGATATCACAGAATGGGGCGCTATCCTTCGCCCTAAGTTGCCCACCCCTACAGCTGCATCTGAATTACTCCCAGAAATTACTGGGGCACTTGTTGTTTTACAAGATACATTAGCCATTCAGAAAAAAAATCTGGCTGCTCATCGTACAATCTACCGCTCGCCTGTTTCTTTTCTACTGTACAGCAATTCAATCCTCGCAAATAGTGGCGTGAGGACCATCTAGGTACGATCTCTCCTCCAAGCCCGCTCAGCCTATCTTCTTCAAGGGCTTGAATTTGATCTTTATTTTCTTGGTCGGCGGTGGCGTCCGTGCCGTGTCTACTGCAGCATCCTTGCTCGAAACCTGGGGCTCGGCGCTTTGCTCTGGAGCCGGTGGCGTTGCTGCCACAGTTCCTTGCGAGTCTGAGGGTTTCACTACTATATCTTGCTGAGAAGTAGCTCTGTCACCTTCCTTCTGCTTTCGGGCCAACTCTTTCTCCATCTTTTTCTTCTCTTTCTTAAGGCGCTTCTTCGCCAGGTACTCGGGGTCATCTTTCTTGTCTCGTTTTTCATCTCGGTTGCGCTTCTTATCTTTCTTGTCTTTTCTCTTCTTCTCTTTAGAGTGCAGCCCATTGACGGATTCTGGAGCTTGGGTTCCAACATAGCTGGTGGATACTCCTTCAAGCTGACTACCAGGCTTATCCACATCTTCCCTCACATTGAGGACAGGAGAGAACTCATCCTTGGGAACCGCATCTAGCCTTGAATCAGCAGCATATATCCTTGAATCGGCTGTACACTGTAGTTCCTTGGAGATTTCATACGTGTCCATTACTTTGGCGTTGCTCACGCTTGCGGACATCCTTGATTCACGGTCATGACATGAGTTCTGCTCCTCAATATTATGATTACTTGTGGTCGGTGGCTCATTTGGCGCTCCAACCATAGGGGCATCCACCGACATAGAACTACAAGGACCCGCTTCGTTTTCATTTCTTCCACCATGTGAATGATCTTGGTGATCAGCACCATCTGCTTTACTGGATGATGCACTACGCCTAACCCTAATTTTGACAACATTCCTTCTCTCACTGCAGTTAGATATGTTATCAGCATCTTTGGAAGGTCCAGTGGCAGGTAAGACCTCACGGACACTAGGAGTGCTAGTGGAAGGTTCTTGAGGCCTTGATAGTTGAGGAACCGAGGAATCAGCTTTAGTATGCTGATCAACTGATACCTCCTGGACCAGTGGAGAGGGAGCAACAAACTTTGGAACTCCATACAGTGTTGGAGACCTGAAATAGGAGATATGTGAGTATAAGGGCACCCTATACAGCAAAACATATTTTATGTTGGAAGGAATGCTCAATGACTACAGATTTGTCCTTAATAATACACTAATGAAACATTGTGTCATCTTTCTTTAAATGACCATATATATTGACCAAAATTTCAGCTGGCTGTATCATGAAATAAAAATGGAAAAGTAGGTACCAATTAGTGTTGATCATGCATTACCTTTTTTTAGCAGAATCATGCATTACTTAGCATAATAATAACTAAGGATGCTAATTGGCACAACTCAGCAATAGGCCAAATAGCTTTCCAGTTCAACAAACATGTTGAGTACACTTGATTAATTTGTATCCCATTTCAGGAAAGCCAACATATATGCAAAGGTTGCATCTAGCAATATAACAATTAAACGTGAGAGAATGTATCAACCTACACGCGAAGTAACAATTACTAACCTTCCAGCAGCAATTTGCAAAATGCAGAACACATTATGGCGAAGAAGAACATTGTTGTATGCTTTTTTGCTACTGAGCAGGTGAAGGAGACCAAAGAGTGTTGGCAATTTTATCTGATCAGTAACGTTAGATTCAATATTTGCTTGACATATGCGCAAGACATGAACAGCCAACTTTGTCGCACCTGCAATAACTCAATGTCAAGAAATCAAGTTAAACAAAAAGAAGCCTAAAGTACTCTACCAATCTAACCTCGCAAAGATCTTTCTTCATCTGTATATTTCAAGAACAACAAGAGAGCTGCATCTAGCCCCTTATGGTGAAGCTCGAGATCAAGAAGAACCCTGCTGGCTTCTATTCGGACTTTCCATGGTTTATCCATGCTACGGAAAGGGGCAATCAATTCACAAATACGATCCTGCAGTAACAAAAATTTGCACCATATGATTCAGTTATGCAGGAAGAGCACCGACAATAAGACAAGACAGCGAGGACTATTATTGGGATCGTTCTTACAAGGCAAATGGAAGGTGATACCCTCTCCGCTATACGTGCAAGAGCTCGAATGCAGCTGACAGTCAAAACCCCATTGTAACCAGGCATAAAGCTGCATGAAATTTTCAGGCCAGTTAGTACAAATCACCTTGATAGGAGGACAGGTAAATGAAAAAATAGTACTAGGACAATTCCACGAACTTGTCAAATTGCAGGAGTCGGTCAATACGCTTCAGAAGAGAGGATAGGAGACCTATGCCCTGAAAAGGAAATCAAATGCCGTTCACCAATATCAGTGGCCTCTCTTAAGGTTTTCTCTAAAGAACAATTGACAATATCTCAAAAGAACGCCCAAGAATATAAACCAAAGGGATGTTAGCCCTATGTAATTTAGGGGCAAATGGATCAACCTACTGACCGATCTCGCCCAATTGGTGGCTCACTTTTTATTCATGGCTCAGGCATTAGGGGCAAAGCAAAAGGATTTAGGATGGACCAATGTATCAGCCCAACCCAGTCCACTTGCATCCTTAATTTCAATGTTGGCAGAATAATATATGTACAAGTTGAAACAACAGGTGCACATTGGGCCAGGGCTGGATTCACTATATCATCATGTCATTTAAAATAAAGAGCAAACCTCCAACATAAATTTACACTAAAATTGGATTAGCAAATAAGATGGAAAAAATTAACTGGACAAATAGAATTGTAGCAGGTACATCACCATGGCATGACCATAAATATGGTCTGACAGGCATGACCATAAATATGGTCTGACAGGAAAAAGCATAATTAGCTCAGCTATACAGAGTGCCCACACTTCCTTAACTGGTAAAAAAAAATTCTCATCTAGCAAGTATTCCTTAGGAGTTAGGACTGGAATATCACCAAAGAACTAGCCACGGACAGGGGTGCATGGAAGCTAGCTATCCATGTGCCACACAACCATGAGTTGGTTGCGAGATCTTATGGGTTTCAGCTCTAGCCTACCCCAACTTGTTTGGGACTAAAGGCTTTGTTGTTGTTGTTGTTGTTGTAGCAAGTACTCCTAACAATTTGAGCACAACAGATCATAAGCCTGATCATGCAGCCACTGAACAGCTAACCATCCACAACAGGTATCTAAAAGACAAATACATGGCATACTGTATGTAGTCAATGTGCATCCATACAAACCTGCTGGCCAAATTCTACTTCGCCTATTGCTTGGACCATTGCAGCTAGCCAGTAGACATCAGAGTATACATTCCCGTTGTTATCATTATACTGAAAATGGGCCAGGACAAAGGTAAGTGCAGATGATTAGAATTGTTGTTACATCAACATGTAAGCATAGGGCTATATGTTATTCGTAGATAAAATGCAAACCTTTAGAAGCTGAAGAATAAATTCAATAGCTTGTCTTGGGCTGCTCTTATCTGATGATCTAACAAGAGCTACTGCATGAGGAATTGCCTAATCGAAGGAGCACAAAGAACAAGATCAGTGCAATAACAATGGCTTGATTAAAGATGACCATGATCATTGATTTACTAACTTGATCAACAGCCATCAAATTGAAATGATGTCAGCAACATTCGTATGGATAAAGCAATGAGATTAGAAATGCCCCCACCCTACTTTCTTTCTATTTCATATTTTAGTTGAAATTTCATGATCCAAAAGTCCTTGGAACACTGACTCAATTGAGTTTTTTCTGTAGTACTCAATATTGACAGTTAAGCCTGCAGAATATCCTATGGGGGCATGGTTGCCTCCACAATCAAGAACATACGAATTTTCTTTTCTAGTGACCCAAGAGGAAGTATATCTTGCTATTCTGGTTATTCTCATGAATGACTGTAAGCCCAACTCTTCCAATATTGTCAAAAAATATTGAAACTGCATTTAACAAACTACAGATGAATGTATGAGAAATCTTGGTAATGATGCTATACAATGGATTTTGTTGACATGGTTAATCACAAATACAATTCCTACCTCGGTGCATTACCTCAAGAACAAAGTATTCTGGAATATCATGGAAGTCGTTTGGCCTATCAGTAAAATAAAATAATGTTTATTACACGTTTAGAACACGAAGCAAACATAGCCATGGATACATGATAGTCTGTGACTAAAAACAACAGGTTTATTGAGGAATGCAGATCCTGACCTGGGTAATCCAATATCTGTATCAAACCGGCGGCTTTTATAGAATTTAACCAGATGAAGCAGCCCAGCTAAATCTGTGTCCTAAATGAAGAGAAAAAACAATTCAGGTAAGCAGCAAAACAAACAGTGTAGAAAGTGTCACCAAAGCATGATCCCTTGAAAAATTTATAACTTATCAAAATCTTCTTATGTTTTGACCGTGCAGTGTAAACAAATGAAAATGCCGGCATAAGCTATTAAAAGGGAATTTAAAGATCTAGCCACCTCAAAAGCATACTGCACACATGGCAAAAGTAAATATATAACTTGCTACCGATTCAAGATTTATTTTCATCGTTTGATTTTTCCACCCTATCTTACGCATCCGCATCCACCAGCAGCTATACGAATGCTACATTTGACATTTCACAGAATGGATCTTTTGAAGTAAAACTCCTGAGGATAAAAAACGCCTTTCCAACCCTTTCACCACAAATGTATTAACTCAATAAAGTACATCCTATAAATTATAAATAGTTGCACGCAGGTGGAACTTAAAGAAGTGTACCTCTGATGCAGTTACTGCTAATGCATATGCCGCTTCAACTCTAACTCTCCAAAAGGCCTGTTGTGTTACCAATCAGTACGAAGTGACATTGGAATTAAGGTCTCAAGAAGCATAATGAAATACCTTTGTATCATTTAGGAAATTATTGAGGGCATTAATCACAGCAAAAGAGAGCTGGGGTAATTTCTCCAGAACAGCTATTGCCTGTGACTGGGAAATGACATCTTTGTCCTTCTCCAATTGATTGATCTGCCAAAATGTCTCAAAACTTGAAAGAGTGAAAAATAGAAGAAAAAATGTATGCATATATCCTAATGGCATCATGTTTGGTTAATTATTAATTTGCATTCTTCCTGAAGCTTAGACTGAAGCTTAGACTACAGGCAAAAAGTCATTTCAATAAGCACCATATACAGAAGTCAGACAAATATGAAAGTAATGTTGAAGCTAATTAACTTATCAAGATTCCCTGCTCCACAATGTAGAAGCAACTATACCAACACTCTTATAGACACTTGTCCAATTGTCTTACAGACATCAAGGAAAATTACATTATTTAAAATGCATATGGATATTTTATACATTTATCTGAAGACCAACAAGGAAGCAGAGACCATTTGTATGTATGCAAAAAAAAATTGAAAGACGCAGCATAAATCTGATCAAGCTCAGGCAATATTGTGGTGCCTAAGGCAGAAGGGAATCAGAACCTCAAGGCAAAAACTGCACTAGTCCAGATTCAATAATCACCTTCTGAACGTACAAAGGATACTTGCCTTTCTGTAGCTTAATCCTCACAACCGAGTATTAGAAGTTTAACACAATTATCAAAATGACAATGTAAAATAAAATGACGATCATAGTTAAAAAAGGCGCGCCTAAGCGAGCGCTTAAGTGCGCCTAGGCTCTAGGCGTTGGCAAAATGCATTGCGCATAACTACGCTTAATCTGTGCATAACTGCGCATAAGCATGCGCTTTGGTCAGTAAAGCGCAAGGCGGTGGCAAAACGCACAATTAACGCCTAGCGCTTTTTTGAACTATGATGACGATAGATCTAGATAAATAGGGAAGACTCCAGCAGTTAAACAAGAAAAAATTACTAATTTCCTTTATACAAACTATGCAGCATTAAATTGAAGTCAACATTAAGTTTATCTGGTGATACGCACCCACATCTGAATAGGCTGGTGAAAATGGATTTCAGCAAGGTATTCCATTTCTGGGTCCACTCTGATCCATAGTAAAGGGGAATCCATGCTGCAGTACACAGATTTGAAATAAGTTTCAAGTAAACTGCAGGACAAAGAAAGAAGTGGATTAGTCAAAATAGACCTTGTGCGGTTCTCTTGAGTTGAAGCATCTACGTTGTCATCAGAACCATCAGGCTTGGAGCCCTTTTTGGTTTTCTGAAACCGCTTTGCTGCTAGTTTGGAATGGCACTGTAATTCCATCACCTGCAACGCTTCACCAGCCATTGGCAGAATCGGATGATCATACACTCCATCAGTTTCATGAACACGTACACTCATCATTCCTGGCCATCCAGTTGCACCTTCTTGAATATCACCATTCACGTGACTATCAGAAACTGGATCAGCTTTTGCTGTACAACCCCGTGAAACAGCTAATTCGACCAAATTTCTCCTTTTATTATAGGAGATTCCCAATCTTGCAAGCAGAAGGAATGCGTAAGCATGTGGAGATAACAAAAAGATACTGGGTAAATCCAAACAAGGAATGCTCTTTTACCTCATAATTGGACATCCACAAGATTCAATCCACCGTGGAAAGAATTCTTTGAGGAATGGACGTTCAAGATTGCCAATCTTATTCGCGAGGTGCCTAAACTGAATAAATGAACATAATCTAATAAATTCAATTGTGTGCATACTACAAAGTTGAGGTTATGCTGCTAAATGCATGTGTGTGTCTTTTTGTTGATGTGCCATGATGGATGAGTTTCATAAGATAGCTACTGCAACAGCATGCAGAAATGAACAAAGAGGGCCCACCGGACTAACATAGAAGTGCTAACATATCGTGAAACTACAGTAATCAGCATGCTACAGTGCTTAGTTTAACATACGAGAAGTTATGGCCCACAATGGAGTGTAACTAGAACATCAGCACAAACATTAGTAGAATATCATGCACCAATCCTAATATATTGAATGTACACATTCCAGGCTAAAAAAGGCATATTCAGATATGCCAGGAGAAGTTCCAAACTAAAGATCACGAGCATAAAGCCGATAAACAACTGGTTAGATGAGAGGTATACCTCTTTCGTACTAAGTGTCCTCGAGGCACGAGTTGAAGCAACTATCATCTGCAGAATCTGGAATAGGAAACGACAACCACATCATTATAAGTGACAATGCTCATAGCAGTCAATCAAGAGGATCTATAAGCATTAAGTACACAAAGACAACAGTAGTTAGATGATAAAAAGAATGTTCGTTCACAACAAACATTTCCTTTTCTTTTGCAGAAAGTATAAATATCCAACAATTCAGCAAGTGTTGTTCATTAATAGTCATGTAATCAAATGACTATCAATCTGTATCCTAGAGATGCTGAGGTATGCAAGTACTTTCAGAAGTAACATCAATTGCTTAAGCAAAACTGCTTCACTGATGTAGACAGCAAATTGTCAAAAATACAAACACCAGAATAGCGATATGCACATAGCAACCTTTCGAAAAGAGTCTGGTCCCATCTGTTTCTCCAATGTTTGAAGAACAGCCACCTGTTTAAAATACGAATGTGAGAGAATGATGCATAAAGCTAGTTGTATAGTTCACAAAAACAAAACTTACTGCCTTCAATGAACGAATTTTCCCATATGAGCCAAGTGTTTGAGTTCCATACAGATCAGTTGAAGCATCAGGAGACCCCAAAGCAGTTGCACCACTGACATCGAACTGGCATACGGTGCAATTGGCCTATTACAAGTACACAGAAGGATTTCAATAAATAACAAACAAGAATCTTGTGAGTCAGATCAAGATAGAATGCATTGTGTCGAGAATAGTTGGAGCATCAAAGCCAGAAAGTCATATTTAATCCCTTTGGCAGATTTATTTAATCATTTGGGTTTATCCCTTCAAAGCAGACGGACAAGATAATCCCAGAAGGTGGGGCAACAAGAACGCTTGGAAGTTAGGACCGCTCAAGTTGGACTTTCTACGCCATATCAAGGTGAATGAATATAAAATAACAGGCAATTGAATCAAGTGAGGAAGTGGTGGGATAACGATAAAATGGCTACAAAGAAATAACAAGCGGCTTCATCAGATAAACATTCTTGAAGGTGCTCCAATTAATTAGGAACATTTTGTCTGAACATTGCGACACACTTATTTTACATTTACAAGATAACATGTTATTTGCATTTCTACTCCTATTTTACAATTTACAAGATAAGAGTATGGCCTGAGATGCATGTGGTGTAGAATGAAATACCTGAAAATACACAAGGTACATCATGTGAAATTGCAAGTGCAGGTACTACGTTGTGTTTGGCTTTGAGGTGGCTTATGATAATCTCGTTTGGCTAACCAGTTTTCACCTACTTTATTGTTTCACTAACCATTTTTTTCTGTTTCCACGTTATTTTCCCACGGCAGATAATAAAAATAGTTCAGAACAGCACAGTTTAGCAACTGCAAACTCAGCCATAGTACAAACCTATCCCAAGGACAAGAGTCAAATTCCTATTGTTATCTACCATAGACTGTTCTAACAGCAAGATCAACTAGAATAGCAATCATTCATTTACAAATTAGCACTAGAAGGTAATGCACAACAGCAAGAACTGTATATGAATAATTCTGACAACAATAAAAACAAAATTGTGCCAGTGTACTAATTTCGGAACACTGTAGCATGATGAACTAAGATACAGATGCGTTTTAGCATTAATTAACTCCAGCTTTCCTTTAGAAAGAAATATTACCAGCAAAGACCATTCAAGCATGAACAACTTTCAGGATACTGACTGGACTTTATATTTCAATATGATAAACTAGTTAATTAATCTAGAGAATCCTGGTTCAGACTTCAAAATGGGTAGCATATGTATGATTAACAATTCCATGGTAAAAAAGAAGCTCAATAGAAGTATTTTTGTAGGTAAGACAACAAACCTTGAAACGCCTATAGCGTGCCTCATTATTCCCAAGGTAACGCTTGATAAAAAGGTCAGTAAGAAAACCAGCCAAACCATCCAGTAGCCATTCTGCTCCAACAGAGTATTATATCATCAATACTTCAGCAAATTTTACCTACGTAAGTAGTAGCACATATGAATTAGCGGGTATAGATGAATTACCATCATTTGGCTCTTCCGCACTTGTGTATATGCCAAACCACTGCCTTGCAAGAGCATATGCTAGTTTGATTCTTGTGCCAATAATCTGAACCATTTTATATGTTAGATACAGCAGTAGTAGCTATTATATCTCAACTAGGTAAGCTGAGAATCTGCTAACAAAATTTTAATTCAAATATCAAAGCAGAGCAAAACCTAAACAAGTGAACCTCAGGCTATTCTTAACAATGGATCTGTCAACTATCACCAGCATGCATGTTTATTAAAGCATTATACACCAATCATACCCGAATCTGGCAGAACTATTGCGCATACAACTAAGAAGACATATTTCTTACTTCTAAAGTTTCGAGTTGGTGGTCGTCCGTTCACTTCCAATAACCCCCCCCCCTTCATCCTGACAAGTGGGCCTTCAGCACGCTAGGTAACCAAGGGGACCTCCTTCCCGATCCATTTGCTCTCCCGTCCCCAATCCCTTCTCTCCGGCCGCCTGGCTCCTCCAATCCCAGTCCCCTTGCCACAAGTGTTCCCAATCTCCATTCAAATCGCCGCCGCCGCACCGCACCTCCTTCCCATATCTCGCTCGCCATCGCCGCCGCCGCCGCACCACACCTCCTTCCCGTATCTCGCTCGTCATCGCCGCTGCCGCACCGCACCTCCTTCCGTGTGTACGCTCGCGCCCACCTTCGCCATCGTCTGGAATGCGTGAAGGCCCCACCGCTCAGCGGCACGCCCACTCGCCGTCGCCTGACCACGTGGAGGCCGCAGCCCATGCGGCGCGCTAGATCTGCTACTGCACCGCGTCCACATGAACGCAGCTCCATGACACGCCGACTAAACCGTGCGGCGCTTCCATCTGAGCGCATCTCAGCCTATTCATTTTTGGTACGTCTACACAAGGTTAACCATGTCGCAAGTGCTGAACTAATTAGATTATTGATTATTGAACTGCATATAATTGTTGTAATTGGATTGCAGCTGAATCTTAGAAGGTACGCCATGCACGAGGCACAACTCAGATTCTAATTTTCTTCCACATTGTGTTTGGAGTTCCTGGGCGCTTCTACATACTGCATGCAACACATGAGTTCGTGTCTTTCCAGCTTGCTTTAGGACCCAAAGAATTAGAATTTCGTTTTTTTTATGTGTTATTGAAAGTATAAACATTTAATCAGAAAAAAGGGGCGGGTCATTCACCCCTATTTTTACTCTTGGTAAACCTGATCAATAAGCACTGAACATGGAAATCTAAATTATATATGTATTAAAGGTCCACTTCACTCACCATCAAAGGAAAATGATGGTGCCTTTCAGGTGTTCAGAGAATGACATGTCGCTCTAATTTTATCTTGTTTCTATTTAATGTGGAAAATCTGAACTAAACTATTGTTTGCCACCGTATAGATTACTGTTTTTAAACTGATAGGGCGCTATCCGATACAACTCTTTATGATATTCCATTTGAAGTGTAACTTTCTTCAATAGTTGTGAGGTAGTGGACTTTGGCAGCAATAAAAGATAAATTCACACGATCGTGCTGGTGTATAGTTTATAGTGGTCACAGAAACAGAACTACTTGATAGGCCTGATGGAAGACTGAGTTGATTAAATAAATATCATGTATGAAAGGTAACACTACTACATGAATTGTTCTGTTTGCACAGCTGATCGGAGTCCGAGGGATGCACATGCTAGACTACATTGATATATTATATTTATGTATAACTTTTGCTGAAATTTCAAAACTGCATTGTACACGGCCAGCGACTCCTGGGAACTGCCCTGGCTCGAGTGGTGTGTCCATTAAGCATCCGCTAAGAATCAGCATCAATATATGGGTTAGCAGTGTTGTTTTGTTGGGTAAACACTAGCCGGCAGTGTCACAAATAGACCTTGCCCATGCTCGACAAATAAGTTGGCTTCACCACTGATTTTATGGCTAATGGGCGTGAAATCATGTTACAAGACTGAAACTTAGGCACTGTATTATCTAATTGATTCTGGCAATCTTCATCTATTGTATTCTCTTAGTTAATTTAGAAACTTTCAATACTCATGGTAGTCATATTTCATGAGTGCTGGTTACAAACTACCATTAGTACCACTATTTCAGCATCCTAAGCATGATATTTGTTTAATTTTGTTTTATCCTGAACAAAAAAGGCCAGACAGATAAAAACTGAGTGGGATACTTTACTCTATGGTTCTAATTTCGTTTTGACTTACACCAGATTCTTATATGAGTAACACTGGAAGTCGAAGAGGAATAACTCTGGATCTTGAGAGAATACCATGTACTGCTACGCGAAGGGTAATTCCACTTTTCTCTTTTGTCGCTGAGATATCAGCCTTAAATTTTTTTGGTAGTGGTATAGCCTACATGATAAGTACTGATACCTTCCTTGGGGGATACATTGTACTGCACTGAAGCTAAAATTTCTGTATATTATGCACAATTAATATGAGAAATTCATTTACCTTGAAACTCTACTTGTTCTAGGGAAAGAAATTACAAAAATAGTCATGATAGAACTAATGTTACAAGGTTCATGGATGCAAAAGACACTCACGTTACTGAAAAGTTGGGCTAGATTATATGCACAAAAGAATAACATACAAACAATTAAGCTAGATGGTAGTAACAAATTATATGTTCAAATTGGAGACCTGATCTATTCCCCAAATCAGTTCGTATGTAAGCTTATAATTTTTGGATGGCCTCTACCATAGATGAATCAAGTCCTGGAAACAGCCTCTTACAGAAATGTAGGGAAAGGCTGCGTACTATAGACCCAAAGTGGTCGGACCCTTCCCTGGACCCTGCGCAAGCGGGAGCTACATGCACCAGGTTGCCCTCTACCATAGATGAATCAAAGTTATGAGTTTTCTTTTGATGGATGACAGGGATGTATGGTTAATTGGTTACCACGTTTGTATTTTTAGGATCAAAGACAAACTTAAATAGAGAAGACTCTCCATGGATTAGGAGAAAGAATGTTAGTAGTGTGGCCTGCAGTTGGAGTCTTTTGTATAAATAGCTAAGCAGTGAGATATGACAATTTGATGTATTTGACTGATTCGGTGCTAGCACTCGGACACAATGAAAGAAGAAGACATGAACTAGTGGAAAAGGTTACATTAGATGGCTCTTACGTGCAAACTGCAAAGCCAAAGTTCAATTTTTTTTTACTCAAGAAGTAGATGAAGCATTGATATACTCTTGTATTTGAGATAATGTGAGCTATGATGGTTTCTTTTGTATTTCTAGATATAATATTTGCCATGCTTCATTTGTGTAATGCTATGAATTCTTATTGTACACATTAACCTCAGTACTATGTTTAGCTCTGCGCTTCTTATCCCACCTCATTTCATGTGCCACCGTGGCGTAGCACGGGCATGATCTGTGAACTATCACCAGCGTGCATGTTTATTAAAGCATTATACACCAATCATACCCGAATCTAGCAGAACTATTGCGCATACAACTAAGAAGACATATTCATAAACAAATCAGTGGGATTAATTGGTCAACTTAATAACCATACAATAACATCTAATGCAGATGACAGACTCATGACACAAAATACGAGGGGCCCTGTATACCGATCCAGAGGGAGTACTGCATACTGTGGTTCGTGAAATAGTCACACACAATATTGGTGGATTTGATAGGGGAGAAAGCAGAGAGAACACAAGCATGCACCTGGTCTATAACTTTTTCATCATTTAAGATATCTGCGCTGAAGATGCATGTGGAGGCTCCAAAGCTTGTTGGCGATACTACCATTTCAGATGGAAGAAAAATTTGCTTGTATAAACCAAAGGGAAATGATGCCGCGAGATAATCTTCGTAACAGCTGCAAAACAACAATCATGAAAAACAAATGTCAAGAAAGTAAAAAAGGTTCAGAAATAAATGCCAAAGCAGCAGCTTCTCAAGATATTAGTAAATACTAACTCCAAACAATAATATTTTGACAAAATTGTGTTTTGTTTAGCACCTGTAAGCATCGTGAAAGAATGAGATGGTGTTATCGAGCTTTGACAAAGCCGGAGATAAACACATGTGGGATACACTTATTCCATTCTTGTCAGGAAGAACTTCAAATGGGCCTACAACCAACGATATCCACTGTGCACTAACTGGAGTGCTCAACTTGTATACATAAGTTTTCCTTGGAGGATCTTCCTTGCTTAAGACCTGCATAGTGCAACATCAGCGGAATGTATAAGCAAAAATGCAGTCAATTATAATGCCCCTAATCAACAAGCCAGGTTGCTCCAGAAATAATACGGCAAGAGATCACATAAGTTTTCAAAGAATACATAGTAGTAGGCATACTAAAGCACAAAGTGTGTATGGAAGATAGGCATACTACAACACAAAGTGTGTATGGAAGGTTCATTGTCAACACAAAAAAGCATCAGTTTTCCATTAGCAGATACTACGTTGAGTCGGTTCCTGGCCTCACGGTGATACAGATTGAAAGCATACCTGGTAAAGCAAGTCCCCATTGCTGACTGCGACTAGATCTGTGCTAACTGTAAACTCCAGGTCAAACCTGGGAATAGCATCATGGTATAAAGAGTGTTGTTAACAACCAACATCAACTACAATAGCAAGATGAACAGGCAGAGTTAAGTAAAGTCACTTACGGACAACGTTGCGTGGCACTATCAATGCAAGGGAACCAACAGTGTGCACGCCTTATTTGACTATTACTATGTAAGACACTGTTGACAAAATGAACACCAGTTTCGGCCTTCTCCAAAATATAATCTACACGAACCAGTTTTGTGTTCTTCACCTACAACAATTTACAATAACACATCATAACTACATGTTTACTCTAGAATTGTAAGCAAATGATATTAAAATGCATTAACAAAACCTTTTATACCTTTTCGTTCTCGATTTGCATTTCATTTTCCTTTTCTTTCTCATTTTCATTTATGACATCCTTTTCCTTTTCCTCGTCCTTTTCCTCTTTCTCCTTTTCCTTCTCTTTCTCCTTCTCCTCTTCAGTTTCCTTCTCCTTCTCTGTCTCCACCTCCATCTCAGTTTTCTCTTCCTTGTCATTGTCTTTTCCATCTTCTGTTTTGTTCTCCTTTTCCTCTTCCTTACCATTTTCCTCCGTAGAACCATTGCAGATTTTAACTGCTTTGTCATCAGAAAATTGAACATGTTTTCCACCAATTCCTTCATGCTTTTCACAATTTTCATTACCCGGTAGCTCAGTGGTTGACTTGACCGATCTCTCAGATGAAATGATGAGATTAGGTACAGCTTCACTGGTTAGAGAAGAGACGTAAGCTGAGCATGCAGCATCAGCAGCAGTCTTCAAACATGATACTGACAACCAACTCGACTGATCATCAACACTTCTCCAATGAGGAGAGTACTCAAACTCAACAGCCTCACCATCCACCAATATGTTCCTAATCGTCATACTGTCAGCATGTAGAGCGAAACTATCGTTCTCAGCTAGTAGAACTTTCATCTCGGTGTACCTTAATGAGTGGACCAAATATAAAGTTTAGCAAGCTCCCATGGGATCACAACGAACGTTTTGCACTATGGATACTCGATTGAAGATGAACTAATAATGAGGAAATTAGCACAGTACCATCCGAAAATAGGCATAAATTGGAAAAATACCATCAAGTGCAAGAATGGCATGCAGGGCCACGTGTTAGTGTGACTTGATATTATTTTTCAACTTCTTTAGACAGTACTCCCTCCGTAAAGAAATATAAGAGCGTTTATACATCACTAAAGTAGTGATCTAAACGCTCTTATATTAGTTTACAGAGGGAGTACTAAGCAATATTGCCCAATTCCATTAGATTTTCAAGAAAACACCAACCACTAATATTTGGGAACCTTCAGGTCCTTCACCCAATTACCCATTGGACATACTCACAATGAGAAGTCAAAATGACTATGTCCACAAGTGCAATCTGGGATTCAATAATCTAAAAAACAATTCATATGCAGAGATCTGGAAGCTCAGGGGGAGTTTGATTCCCAGGTAACATCCCTGCTTTGGCGCCATGGCAGGCGCTGGTAGAGAAGGGAAGGGGGGAATCCGGAAGGAGAGAAGGAAATTAGGGATTCCAGAATTATTGAATTATTTCCTGAAATCCTGGTACACACTACTGCTCAGATGACCAATTTTAACACAGGAAAGTATGTGAACATCTTCCTTATGTTCAGAAGACAACTACATAGATTTGTGTTACATTTTGCCTGACACTTGCATAAATCCAGATTCATATTTCATTTTGATTTCTATAATTACAAGGTTGTTTGGTAATTCCTCATAGCGTTGAGACAGTCCAATCCCCCCATTTAGATTTTTCCAAATCAGGACTAGTTTCTGATGCACAACTAAAATTGCATCTGGAGACATATACTGAATCAATCATCACAAGTTTCCAGAACCAAGTGTACCAATTAGAAATTCCTTTTTCAAAGAAATGCAGAGTCGCATTTGCATACTAAGGAACTACAATGGTAGCCCATTTTTACCAAAACTTATTGCCTCGGAACAGGTTGTACCATAAAAAATTGCGTACAACGGCACATGCCTCTACTCAAACTGACCGTCGCAGTGATAATTTAGCTGTTAAGCACATAAAGTAGCTTGCAATTTTGCCTCTACATATACAAATTAAGAAATTATTAAATGATAATTCAGCTCTTTATGAAGTTCTTGAATCCATTGAATTTGTGTATGAATACCGTGAGAGTGGGAATGTTTCCTTCCAAATTACTGCACTCTCAGCATGCCACAATTTTTATTTTGTTTTTTTAACTTCTCTTACATGAACCCAGCAAGCTATGAAGGAGATGGATTGCTAATCAGGACAAGACTACTGTATATGTTTTATCAGGCTATCAGCTAACTGTAACCTCATTTTTAACAGTTCAACTCGAAAATGCTACTGGGCATTAGCCATTTTGCCTACCGCAGGGAGCACCACGTTTTCTCATGGTGAAAGGCACACTATTATATTGCATAATTAACTAAGGAACTGGATAATAGCAGCAATAGATGCACGGATTGATAAACAGACCAAACTGAAAACAACCAATCCTGACCAAATACAGAGCACGCGGTTAAGCACTACCATTACAATGCAAATGAGTGTGGTCTCTACTCAATTAGCTCCGGTTCATAGATAAATCAAACAGGACAAGAGTCGGTGCCTTGGAACTAACTGCCCCACGGCATTGCACAATTTATTTATTTTTTTGAAACGAGCATTGCACAGTTCAAGCTCCAAAGCACAAACACAAACGCTCACAGCACCAATATACCACTCAATCGCCAACTCCAAACCCTAACCCTCGCGGCAGAAAGCATATTACACTAAGCATCCCCAAAAGGCAGCTAAAGTCGCGCGCATTAGGGCACGGGCATGAGTGGGTCGAAGCTATTCAGGCAGAATAAGCGGCGGTGAGGCTCACCCGTAAATCAGCTGGTTCTCCATGTCGATGGAGAGGCACAGCTTCTGGTGGAGCACGGTGGGGCCTCCGCCGGCGCCCCCTTCCGGCTTCTGCTTCCGCGCCTTGGCCATCGCGGCGCTCCTCGAATGCTCCCCTCCGCGCTGCTCCGCCTGCTCCCCTTCTAGGGTTTGGAAGCTGCTAAAAGGGGGTTCGTCGGTCGGAGTACGGTGGTCTCGGGGGGGCTTAGTGAGGTGGTGGTGGCGGAGGCGTGGAGGGGCGCCACGTCACCTGGCACTCCGAGGGACGCGAAGCAGGGGAGGAGGCGAGTGAATTTTATAGGCCAGATGAGCGAGCGCTCGCCGGCGTTGGAGCCCGTCGCGGCTCAGATCTTTCGCCGCCCGCCGGCTGGGCTGCGTGGATCCGGTGTATGGATTGCGGCGTGGGACCGGAAGCCTCGACGGGCGTGACGACTGACATCGTAAGGTTATGTGACGGAAGTCTATAGACCCGGTCTATGCTAGTTGTGCAGCTGGCAGCTACCCTTTTCTTTCATTCTGTTCTCTGGGGTGGTAATCGGCACATCCGTGGCTTTTAGGCTAAGCGAATACTTGAGGATGGGCTGTTTGTGTGGGCCTGGGATTTAAAGTCCGTCCCTCTCAAAAACATCCAAATGGACTTATGGGCCAGTCTAGAGTTTTCCAGCCTTGGGCTTTTCTACCCCATGGATTAGTCAGATTCGAAAGTCCAACTCTGATCTCGAGTTTCTCAAAAAAAAAAACTATCTCGAATTCATATGCTCCACTGATGAACAATGAATTCAAATAAAATACCAAACAAATTGTTAAAGAAACTGCAACTTTTACACATCAAAGATGAAATACTCTTCTAGGTGCCTCCAAAATTCCGCACTGAGATGACATCTGAGGAGCTTGATACATAAAAAACAAAATTGGGGCTTGAATTTGAATGTCATCTCAAATCAAAAATTTGCAGGCACCTATAAGCGTCTCTTATCTTTGATGTATCAAGAATTTTAATTTATTTGATATTTTTTCAACTTTAATGTTCACTTGGGTGAGCATAAAAACCACTCTCATAGTACTACCACATTTGGATGTAATAGGTGTTCTGAAAAAAGTTGGATGTAATGGGTATAAACTCCAAATAATTTAGAAAATACAAAGGACAAAAAAATAACTATAAACACAATACGAGATGCTAACGTACAGCTATATGCACATACAATCATCAATCACCCTTATAGGCACACACACGGACATCCTACCCCTATGGGCACATAGAAAAGACACGGCCGAGAGATTTGAGATTGATGAAGACACTACACGCACCTCGCCGTGGACAGAAAAATCGCCTATACTGAAAGGATATTTCACCTCTATGAGATACACAAGCTTCAAACTAATATTTTATCCCTGGTGGGATGAGGATACAACCACCCTCTTTTTTCGTAGGAAATCGGTTTGTATTACTCACGTAGCATCGCGAGTTCGTGTCCTGAGCCTAGGCACACCATAGTGCGATGAGAAGTTCTACAATATGAATTAAGAGGTGGCTAGCATTATTTTGAGTATGTCTAATGTGAGTAATACAATAATTTCTTTGTTGCCCAATTGGATCTCACAAACGGTGAAGCTATGTTGTCACATGTTCATTTCTTCTTTTTGGTATAAGATTTACTCATAGTTTAAAAAAACGGACCAAAACGGCGGTTGGACCGAAAATAACCGAAACCAGTGATCCTTGCGGTTTTTTAAGTGCAGCAGACCGTTCGAGCAATCGAATCAGAAAAAACCGGTCGAATCGGCCAGTTTTTGAAAAACCAATGAACCAGGCGGTTCACAGAGAACCGGTCGGTTCGATGTCGTTTCCAGAAAATCCCCTCAATCAACTCGTTTTCATGCAAACAAGCTGGGGGTAGAATCAAAACAGGAAGAAACCCCCTTTTTAGTAGGGTCCAGCCATTTTACGAGCATTTCTCTCGATTTTATCTATGGACAAACCCTATCGGGCGCTGGCCCCCTCCGGCGCAACCCTTGCTTGGCACCATAGCATGGCGATGCCGCTTCTCCCTCATCGCTATGTGCGGCAGCACCAGGCCACCAGCCCGCGCTGCCACTCCTGCGTCCCGCCATCTGCACCACCTCTATTAACGGTTGGGCAGAGGGGCTGCTGCCACCTAGCTACACTGGTTCGTACAACTTTGATCTCCCTCCGCTCCAGCTAAATCGACCAGGCTTCCCTCCGGTTTCCTCCCTTCATTCTAGAGTCCGGACCAGGAGCATCCAAGCAGGATGACCAAGATGCTCGACATCACCTCCGACTACATACTTTTTATCTAGGACCCTGATAACTGCCACACGTGTGTCATATTAGAGATCCGCCCACACACCCAATGTGGCATAATCAAGAGGCAACCCACACGGCTCATGTGTGGGCGAATATTAGAACCGCCCACACGTGTGGGCGCAGCTACTTCGTGCCACACGCCCAACAAGTATGACTCATCTCTATCCTGTGCGTGTGGCACGAAGCAAATATGCCCAAATGTCCTGGCGCAGCTACCTTAGTTACCGCGGGATGACGCTTTAGTTACCCCGGCGATGGCAACTTTAGTTATCCGGGATGGCAAATGTTGTTGTAAAAGCATGGCAACTCTCTCTGTTTTGGTTAACTATAGTTGTCATGTCTAATTTATGGTAGTTGTCGCGTGTAATCAAGCCATAGTTATCGTGTGTGATTAACTACTTGTCACATGTGGTCAAACAATAGTTGCCATGTGTGTTTACTTAGTTGCCACGTACGCGCAACTGTAGTTGCCATCTACCAACGAATCATAGTTGCCATGTGTGTTTACCTAGTTGCCACATACGCGCAACTGCAGTTCCCATCTATCACCATACGAGCACCGTGTGAGCGAAAGAGCAGTTCACCCACATGCGCGTGGACTGGGTGGTGACTGTGTGGGCTAGAACTGGTTCGCCCACACGGTGAAGCTAGCAATCGCACGCTGCGGGTCATGTGGGCGAGCGCTCTAACGCCCACACAACACGCTATGCCTATGTTGCACTGAAATTCCAACAGATTTCTTCAAGATTCGTGCAAAATATAACAAAGATCAAAACATGTGGGTGAAGTGCAGATATGCCACACGTGTGGGCGTTATCATTGAGTTTATCTATTGGTTGGCGCATATATTGATAAAATATGTATTATTTTATTGCTTAAAAGCCGAACCGAGCCGGTGAACCGACAGTCCGACCAGTAAAAACCTGAACCGGCATGCTCGCCGGTTCGATTACCAGTTCGGTTTTTAAAACTATGGATTTACTACCTCCAACATTCTACTCAATAACAATTTGCTTATGGCTCCATTGTAATGCAAGTAAAATTCCCTCTTTAATGGCCAATAATTTGGATTCAAACGCATCATGACAATGATGAAGTTGGCGGCAAGCACTCATCGCAATTTTCCCCGAGTGGTCATGAAGGATCATAGCACTATCGGTTGTTCCATCTGATACGAATGACCCGACCCTGTTCAAATTCACTCACCGCTCCTTGGGTATCTCTCATCTAACATGTTGTCCAATGAGAAGGATTTTACATCGGGCCTTGGCAATCTAGAACAATATACTTGCCTTCGAACAAATCATTCCCTGGATGTTGGGAAATTTGAAGAATGGATTGGATATAGTCGAGGAGGAATCCAATAGAGACATCAACTTGCGGCCCTGGCTTATGGACCATCTCATTACGCACATACCAAATTCGCCACAACCACACTAGGAAGTTGAGATGTTGTCCTTCTGCCATATCGCTCAAAGCATGCAATGCCCATTCAGAGCCTGTATTCCGCAAATTCTTCACAGTTGGGAGCGACCATACCGCGGACATAGCTAGCCACAACTTCCTAGCATTAGGACAACATCAAAGCACATGGAAGGTTTCCTTATTTTCCACACCACAAAGAGGGCATAGAGCAGTAGTTTCCAAGTGACGAGAATGCTTTAGAGTCCATGTTGGCAAACAATTGGTTGTGACGCATGCTACCTCTTGAGTACTGCGTTGGATTTCCCCGAAGAGGAGAGGATGATGCAGTAAAGTAGCGTAAGTATTTCCCTCAGTTTTTGAGAACCAAGGTATCAATCCAGTACGATATCACACACAAGTCCCTCGTACCTACACAAAATGATAGCAACTCGCAACCAACGCTTAGGGGTTGTCAATCCCTTCACGGTCACTTACGAGAGTAAGATCTGATAGAGATAATATTTTTGGTATTTTTGATAGATAGATGTAAAGTAAAAAGGCAAAGACAAAGTAAAACAAAGCAAGTAAATAAAGTAATGGAGATTGATATGATGAGAATAGATAGACCCGGGGGCCATAGGTTTCACTAGTGGCTTCTCTCAAGAGCATAAGTATTCTACGGTGGGTGAACAAATTACTTGTTGAGCAATTGATAGAAAAGCGAATAATTATGAGATTATCTAGGTATGATCATGTATATAGGCATCACGTCCAAGACAAGTAGATCGAAACGATTATGCATCTACTACTATTACTCCACTCATCGACCGCTATCCAGCATGCATCTAGAGTATTAAGTAAAACAGAGTAACGCCTTAAGCAAGATGACATGATGTAGAGGGATAAATTCATGCAATATGATAAAAAAAACCATCTTGTTATCCTCGATGGCAACAACACAATACGTGCCTTGCAACTCTTTCTGTCACTGAGTAAGGACACCGCAAGATTGAACCCAAAGCTAAACACTTCTCCCATTGCAAGAACTACCAATCTAGTTGGCCAAACCAAACGGATAATTCGAAGAGACTTGTAAAGATAACTCAATCATACATAAAAGAATTCAGAGAAGAATCAAATATTGTTCATAGATAAGCTGGATCATAAACCCACAATTCATCGGTCTCAACAAACACACCGCAAAAAGAAGATTACATCGAATAGATCTCCACAAGAGAGGGGGAGAACATTGTATTGAGATCCAAAAAGAGAGAAGAAGCCATCTAGCTAATAACTATGGACCCGAAGGTCTGAAGTAAACTACTCAGACTTCATCGGAGAGACTATGGTGATGATGTAG